GCTCATTCAGGACCAGAGACAAGGGTTGGGATGGGACCCTGCACCTCTTGTGGCCTTGCCCTTCTCATCTGGCCCCAGCTCAGGCCATTCCAGGAGACTCCCAGTCTAATAGGGAAAAACTATGACTTGCCAAGGGTCCCAGACGTTGGCTTGGAGGGCTGCACCTGTACTGGGGAGACTAATCCACCCCCCCACCAAGCAAGGGCCTTCCACCAAGCCCAAGGGGGATGACAGTGGGCATGAGGTCTGATCTCTGAACACAGCTTAGAGGCTGTGGATAATGGGCAGGGGTCCCCCATTCACTGCAACACCTAGGAAAAGGAGTGGTTATACTTGTTGACTGTGTGCCTTTGAGTCGGCCGAGGCCAGGTCGACTTGTGCTCATCAGTGCGACCCTGGGAAGGGGCTCCTGGCTGAAGCCTCTCCCTGATGGGTTGGCATCAACATGCAGGTGCCATTTCCCTGCCTAGAACAGGCTCCAGAGTGAGACTGGCATCACTCACTGGGGTAATTACTGGTTTGGGTTCGATTTCCATTCAAAACAGTAATCCCAGCCTGAGTTGGATGTCAGATCTGAAGGTTGATTATTAGTAACACTTATCAACAGCCTTTCTTAGCTTCAGGCAATTACAGCTAACCTGGCATTCCTGCTCCCAGTTGCGCACAACTGCCAGCATCTTCCCTGCCACCCCCCCCTTCTCCCCTCCCTTCCCCTCAGCAGCCAGCCTGAGTGAGGGCAGGAGATGGGAGCCACCTTATGAATCACTGTCACCCCAGTGTGTAGGGGATTCACGTGCATGCTAGGCACAGTGCTTTCTCCCCAGCGGCAGTCCTCCTGTTGCAGAGTCTTGTGAGATCTGAACTGATTCTATCAGAACTGAGAGGAATCCCAACAGTTTACAGACAGGAACCTATGCCTCCTGGCCCTCATATTATATGTTTTTAGTTGCATTAAGGTACCTTCCACCCTGACTTAGGCTGTCCCTCCCTTCCAGGGCCGGGACTAAGGTGAAGCAAGTAAGGCATTCACTTCGGCACAAAATTTAAGGGTGGAGATGCAATGAAAGCTCAGTAATCAAAATAAATAATAACAAACCAATTGCCACTGAGTTGACTCAGCCTCATGGTGACTCCATGTGTGTCAGAGTAGAACTGTGCTCCATAGGGTTTTCAATGGAAGTAGATTGCCAGACCTTTCTTCTCAGGCACCTCGGGTGGACTCGAACCTCTAGTCTTTCATTTAGCAGCAGAGCACATTAACCATTTGTACCACCCAGGGACTCCAAAATAAATAATATTTTGATGCAATATTTTTTAAGAATCAAAATTAATGTAAAACTATCCATAATAAACAAAATATCAAAATGTAATAGACAGGAACCAACCGTGCATTTACAAGACTCAGCCTCACTTGCTTCACCTTAATCCCAGCCCTGTCGGATCCTGTCTTTACTTAAAATTTTGATATTTTGTTTATCAAGGTTGTTTTTGCATTAATTTTTATTTTGTTTGTCTTGGTTACTGAGTTTTTTTGGTACCCCCTTAAATTGTGCACACCAAAAGAGTACCTCACCCTAGTCCTGGCTCTGCTCCCCTCCCTTCCTACTCAGCCCTAACACCTCCCCTTTCCTTCAGCTCTCATTGTCCTTCTGCCTCAGGCAGGTGGCTCAGCTTCTTTCTGAGCTGGGGCCCAGGGCAGCAGGAAATCCAGGGGGCCCCCCACCATGGGCAGCTGTTCCTGGGTTACCATCTCCCGCTCTGTCCCTCTGGACACTCCTTCAGCCTTCAGGCACCACAAGGAAGGCCTGCAGGCTGCCATGGTAACTGCTGTGGTAACTGGAGGACAGAACATTCTGATCTTCCTCCACTCCCATGTCACGTCCAGTCCCTGATGCACTAACCTAAAAGGAAATTAAAACATTGCGGGGAATGTATGGAGCTGGAGAAAATTACATTTATCTGAATTCCTCCCAGGGAGAGGGCAGTCTGTGGCTGAAGGAAGACAGTAATGGTTTGTGATGGGGAGGTGAAGCCCTGTAGTAAACATGGATGAATGCCAAATAGACTTCTACAGAGGGTAGGTGTAATGAACTGAAGGACTTTTGCTTGGCCGAGCAGGATCTATAAGCTGAGGCACCTGTCACCAAAGAATGTCCTCCCCCTGCTCTTCCACCAGGCTTGTCCGAATTAAACAAATATTTCAAAAATATCAGTAGTGAAGAATAGCTTTCCCAAGGTGCCAAATTGTATCCGGGGCTTGAGGTATTGTCATGTCGAGGTCTAGGCCACAGTCACTTGGCCACTCAGTGTCCAGACACCTGTCACAGTGGGAGGCGCAAGGGTCTCAGGTGGAACGGTTCAGAAGCACCGTCTGAGGCCGCCCCAGCACCACAAAGCTGGCATACCCTCTGGTCACCCAACCTGGCAGTAGGTCATTTGTCCCTGCTCTGCCACTTCCTGGGCATGCTGCTTCCCCTCTCTGAGCCTCAGTTTCCCCATCTGTGAAATGTCAGTAATAATGCCCTCCTTAGTGGATGTGCTTGCCATTAAATGAGCTAAATGTGCACAAAAGTGCTGTGACACTGCAAAGAGCTGGGACCATGTGGCCATTATTCAAAACTCCTAAGGGCTGTTACGTAACAGCAGATTGAAGAGTCATATTCTGTGAGGCCCTGGAGGAAGGAGTCTTTGGGCTAGGAGTGAAGAAGAAATTACCAGCTGTGCAGAGGTAGAGGGACCACTCTGGCAAGAAAGGGTGCTCTGACAATGCGAGATTTTCATAACCACATGTCCATCACTTTCCCTGCCCAGGGAGGGAGTGACCCTTGAGAGATGCTGTTTATCCAGCCCTGAGGTTCTGTGATGCTTTTTGACCATCCTTCCCCAGTCCAGCTGGGTCCCACAGGCCAGCCAGGTCCCACAGGCCAGCCTCAAGTAAAGACGGGCCTCCTTGGAGGAAGTGGCTTCACCTACAGTTTGTATGACATATTCCTGGCTCACTTTCCCTGGTTTAATACTATGGACCATTGTAGAACCCTGAGTTTGGGCAGGAAGGGGACCAGGGAGGGCCCCATGCTTCCTGTGGCCACTCACGCTTGACCAAGTACTGATTGGAACATCAGCTTTAAGATGCCCTTTAACTCTGAGAGAAAGGTTCCATTCCATCTGCAGCAAAACAGAGGACATTGAAAGTTTGTGAGAGATGGAGGGATGAGGGTCCCAATTCCAGGCGAGCACACACATGCTCTTCCCTACCTGGGAGCTGCCGTGTGCAGTGTGTCTGCATACACACCCCTGCAGCGTTCCTTGTGGCTAGCTTTGGAGCTTTGACGCATTGTGTTGAAGTGGAGAGAGCATTAGACTAGGTGTAGGGAGACCTGGTCCTGGTCTTGGCCTGACCCTACCTGTGAGCCTGATTTTCCCATCTGTTACATGAGTGAGTATGATGAGATGCCCTTCTCAGCTGATAGTCTTTGATTTTTCTGTTTTCTGGAGGCCATGGGAGTTGACAGAATGAGCTCACCTTGGCACCCTCCTCCCCTTGCCACTTACAGTCTCTCCATCAGCCTTTATCTGTCCTCTTGGCAGACTTGGGGACCAGGGTCCAGTCAGGGTGGGGTCAGCAATGTCCAGTTTTGCACCTGGGCCTCACTTTTCCTTCATAAATTTGAAATTGAATCCCAAAGATTCCTAATTATTGTTCTAAGCTCTTGTTGAAAATCCGAGTATCAGTTTTACAGAGCATGGCTGAGGATGGGAAAGGAAGGGGAAGCGGTGGGGCTGTAGATAGGGAAGGGAGAAACAGAAGGCGATATGATCAGGGAATTAGAGCGGGGCTTGATAGATGAGGCTCGAGGAGTTGGCAGGATCTAAGTCACCAAGAGCCTCTGGGCCAGGTAAAGTAGCTTAGATTCTGTCCTGGAGACAGAGGGAGCGGGGAAGGGTTACTGAAGAGTTTAAGCAGGGCAGGGGACATGATCAGATTTGCGTTTAGAAAGCTCACCCTGGTGCTAGTGTGAGGATGGGTTTTAGACTAGCAAGTTGGAGCCAGACACCATCCCAGAAGCTGATGCCAGAATCAATCTGGGCGACCAACAGGGAAGCCCTAACAAGGAAGTGGGTCTAGTGAAGTGGGGGTGGGTAGAGTTGAGAGATGCTTGGTAGATAACATCAGAAGTGCTTGAAATTATCTGGATTTGCAGAAGACAGTGGTCAGGGAAAAGAAGGTGCCTTGGGGGCCTGGGCGGTGTCATTCACTGAGGTAGAATATACAGAATGAATGATCAGACATGTAGGAAGCCCAAAACTGTTCATCAGTGTGAGGTGCTGTGCGACACCCTGGAGAATGCGTCCAGAGAGCAGGTAGATAGAGGGGTCTAGCCTCCAGGAAAGGGGTGAGTCCATGATGCAGGCTTGGAAGTTCTCAACCCTTGAGAAGGCTTGTGGGAGGTGAAGCCCTATGAGGGGATCAGATCACCTAGATGCATTACGTGGAGTGGAGTGAGAGGACAAGAGGCTGAGGGCACAGATGAGCAAATCCTAGGCCCCTCATTAGCCCCTAAAAGGCAGAATATGTGTGTGTCCCCCAGCACAGAGCCTACCACTGACCCCTTACCCAGGGCTGGCCATAGACAGGGCATCAGTGAATATATCCTCTGGCTTGTGGTTCCTCCCACTGGAGCCTTAGTGCACCTGGCTCTGCCTGGGTTACTATAGTAACCTACGGATGCAGGGATACACGGGCTCTGTGTTGCCACAGAAACCACCAGTTGGGTGTCCCTGAGTGGCATGGCTGCTGAGGCCTTGGGGATTCAGCTTGGTCCTAAAGGGGTTGGAAAGGAGGCTGTGACAAGCAGAAGGGTTTCCAGGTCCTAATTAATCAGTGATGGTAGTTGTTAATCTGACTGTTGCCATGGTGATGAAGGAAGACATCCAAGTGGGCTCATGGTAGCTTCAGTATTAAGCTGAATGATACAAAGAATTTCAGCCTGAAGTAGGATCATCCCTAGACTCACTCCATCCTCTGGCCACCATGGGACCAGGACACCTTTGCCTGCATTCTGGGTTTGCACACTTTTGCCAAGACAGGGATTTTGTTCCCAGGAGGCACTCCTGGGCGCATGGGAGCTCCGCATTCAAAGCAGCAAAGAAAACCTGGACCCCTGAAACAGGGCCACCGGGGCCACCAAAGAAATTGGTAAGCACTCAACACCCCACCTTTAGCCCACTGACTCCACCCCTCCCTCGACTCCATCTGTCTGCCATCATCATCCTCACCCGTTTGCAGTCCCAAGGCTTCCTCTTCCCTCTGGTGCTGGTCACCCATCACCTCATGGGGTCCCACAGCCCAACTCCCCCAAACCTCCCAGGCTCTAGACAGGTTAACAGGAGGCTTTACTGCTTTACATGCCCTGGAATCTCAGGAGATTCCTCCATTGTGCGAGTGAGGGCCTCTCTCCTTGCCCCGAGTTCTCTGGCAGCTCTGCTTTCTTGCCCTGTGCCTTTTCTGGGTGAATCTTCCATATGGCCTATGCCACCCCCACGCCATGCTTCATTCCATTCTCATGCTGTGGTCATTGCTCCCCTCATTCTGGACTGCCTGTGTGCTGTTCTGAGCAAGCACCCTATGGAAGTCCCTGTACTTGGTCCATAACTTAACTCAGCATCTGAGGTGGTTGAGACCTGGGCACTGAAGAAGGCCTTGAATGACCACAGTCTGGCCAGCAAGGGGCAGGGATGATGAGGTGAGGCAGTAAGGGCATGGAGTCACCCCTTCTTTTCCTCCTCAGGAGAACAACCAGGAGGAGGAACTACTTGAAGGACGCAAGGGAGATTGCTCGGTGAGCTGGCAGGGGAGGAGGGTGTGCTGGCCCTGAGAAAGAACTTGTGAGGAGAAAGCCATCCACAGGAGACAGTGCAGGGAGGTGGGGGTGGGGATGGGCGTGGCTCAATGGCCATAGATCCCGTATCCACTGGGG